TTTTTTTTTTTTATTTACACCTGCTGTATGTCGATTAAAAAGCTATGCAAATTTGCCTAGGCAATTAAGTTTCTGCTTTTTTTCTGTATGTGGTAGATACTTCTGTTTAAGAGTATGCATTTTTTGCCATCTTAATATATTTGGATCAATTTTTGGTGACGTGAAATGAGCTTTGAAGTAAACTTAATAGGAATTCATATGTCTGTTATTTTTTTCCTCTAGATTCTCCTATACAGTCTTCCATGCGCAGTGTGTATTTGATATGAGGTACATTTGTTATTGTGAACATGCCGAGAACATTAGGTAGAGTTATAAATTGAAAGAAAGAAATACACAGTAGTAGTATTTCCTCCTATTCTTGCTATATAAACTTTTTTCTCATCTGTGCAGGAGGTTGCATCAACAATTTGAAAGCTATAAAGAGCAAGTAAGAAAGATAGGGGAAGAAGCCCGCCGTTACCAGGGAGAGCACAAGGATGATGCTCCAACATGTGGAATCTGTCATAAAACAAAGTTTGCAGATGGTTGTGGCCATTTATGCTCTTATTGCCGGACCAAGTTTTGTGCTCGATGTGGAGGTCGTGTCTCTCTGCGATCAAACAATGTAAGTCCTCTGATGTCTACTCTTAAGAAAAAGCCTCCTTGACATTGTCATGCTGCAGATGGTTCACCTTAAGTTTGGCATTTCATGTTTCATTTTACTTAAGTGTTTCACTCATCACTTTGTTATGAGGTGTTTATAGAGAAGAATAATGTATTTAATGATTGTGGAGATATTTAGGATTCACAGAGTTAATTAAAAAAAAGAATTTATAGTGTATAGTTCTACTGAGTGATGGCTTGAAGAAAACATTCTTGGTTTTCATAGAATGAAAGAAGAAACCCTTTTGCTCATGTACAACTCCACATTGATAAATTTTTATTGAACTAATTTCATTTTAGATGTCTCTTTTTATAGAGCTTTTCATATACACTTACAGATTTCTCTTACATAAAATTAGTCAATTTTTTGGTTAGAGAAAAACCCTCAACCATTTCTCTTACCACAGTGAGAGTGTTATGTCAATTTATTTTAAATTTATTTCACAAGTAAAAGTATACATTAATCTGGATTGGGTATCCTACTTTCCCTCTGATCCACATGCAGTTAGCTGCAGTAGCCGTCTGCAGAAGAGAAGGGTGTCCGAGAATACCCTCTCTTCAGTCAGTCCCTTACAAAGAACTGGCTACTCACTTGCACATGAGTGGTAGGATCTATATTTGGAAGACCGTTATCCAGTGATTATTTTGGGCTGATCATCTAGGACTATGGTGTGTTATAAAACATTTTACAAATATCCTTTTATTGCATGAATAGTTTTGTTATCTACCAAGAGATGAGGTAACTTTCTCATGCCAGTCTTTTGTAGGGGAAATGCATCAGTGCTCTTTGTATCGATACAAGTTCAGTTAAAAGTGCTCATTAATTTTATAGCAGATAATCATGTTTACAACACAACTGGTTTATGGCCTTTTCACTGTCTTTGAGCTAAACGTCAGTCGAATAAGGTGTCTTAATTTTCTTACCAAAAAAACCCTCACTCAGAAAATTACCCACTTAATCTTTATTTTGGAATTTTTCCATAGCCCTGACGTACTTGTGAGTCCATTAAATCAAATTCATATTATTAAAAAATTCTGTAGGGGTATTGGACAAAAATTTTCATATATTCATATTTTAATAGAAATAGATGCATTATGTTGCATCACCTGCAGGTGGTGTCATTAGAGCAAGTTTATGAAAATACAGTTTACTTTGATATGGTACGTTATACTATTAATTAGAGTGCGTATGATACAGGTTCTCTTTACTCAGACCAAAGTTGAATATATTTTAATTATTTTTCACCCACTGTTTCAAGTCACAGAAATGGAAGAGTGTCCATTCATTTGTAACTTGCCGTTTGTTTGTTATATTGTTTATGCTTCTGTGGGTTAGGGTGGGAAAAGTGTTTTCTACATATGCAGTAATATCAGCTTTTTATTTAAAGCTCTGGTTATTTTTTTGAAATTTTTATGTTTTTATCTCTTTATAGAGAGTTATTAGAATTGCATTTCTTTGAAATCTGTCTATTAATACTTGCCTATTTTATTCTTTTTCTCTTCCTTTTTTCTTTTCTCTTTTTATTCTGCTTCCTTGGATGCTTTCCCAAAGGAGGACAAAGTGGTTAGAATCCATGCTTTTTATCATTTATTATTATAATGTTATTAGTTATCTGGGAAACATGTTAATGTAACAAACTGAAATGAAATTTTTAAATCATCCAAAGGGGAAGGGGGGAAGAACAGGAATCCTAACACCCAGGCCCTGCCCATTCCCTAGCTGAGCATACGCTTTGAAGATGGCCCAGCAAGGAAACCCAAGACTGTTGTCAAAATCAGAACAATAAAAGAAATTAACTAAGAATTGGGAATTATTAATAGGCTAAAAAGTAGAGGAAGGTTATAAAGTGTAATAAAGCTTTATTTCATAAAAATGTCTTTGGTTAACAATTTGACTTTTTGCATGCAAGGTCCTTCCATCAGCTTCAGGAAATCTAATTTAGTATCTTAATTGTAATTTTACATTGCTTTATATGGTTTGCTGTGTTTCACTTCTGGCTGCAGTAGAAATTCGGGGAATTCTTGTGAAATCAGCTTTTTGATTTTACATTCAAAATAATTTGCATAGGCTAAAGATAAGCTCTTAAAACTGGGCATAAGTATAGTGAGCAGGATGGAGTTAGTCCTTTGGGAATGCGTAGTTACCATTTCAAAAATCTGCAAAACTTTCAGGATCAAGTGCTGGCGTATTCACCACTAATGCCTGTGCCTCATCTGAAATGACCAGATGGAGAAATGCCAGCAGGAGTAGGGACATGATCACCCTGTACTTGGCACTGGTGAGGCCACACCTCAAATACTGTGTTCAGTTTTAGGCCCATCACTCTGAGAAAGACGTTGCGTTGCTGGAGCATGTCCAGAGAAGGGCAACAAAGCTGGTGAGGGGTCAGGAGCACAAGTCTTATGAGGAGCAGCTGAGGGATCTGGGGTTGTTTAGTCTGGAGAAAAGGAGACTGAGGGGAGACCTTATCGCCCTCTACAACTACCTGAAAGGAGGTTGTAGTGAGGTGGGGGTTGGTCTCTTCTCCCAGGTAACAGGCAATAGGACGAGTGGAAATGGCCACAAGTTGCACCAAGGCAGGTTTAGGTTGGACATTAGGAAAAATTTTTTCACCGCAAGGGTTGTTAAGCATTGGAACGGGCTGCCCAGGGAAGTGGTCAAGTCCCCATCCCTGGAGGTATTTAAAAGATGGGTAGACAAGGTGCTTGGGGACATGGAATGGTGGAATGGCAGTGTTAGGTTCACGGTTGGACCTGATGATCTTGGAGGTCTTTTCCAACCTAAACGATTCTATGATTCTTCTATGATTCTAAATAGGTGAGGGTAGTTCTCTGTTCACCTCTGCACCCAGAGGAAGGGGTGGCAGTACTTGAGCAGAACTTACATGCCCACTTACTGCCTGTCCTCAGGGAGGTCTGCAAAAGGTGGTTTTCCAGGCTTTATCCTGGAGACTTTCATAGTGGGAATTAGC